TTGGCAAAGTCAATATTTCCCTATATATACAGCAAGGAGCACTGATGATGATTCATTCGGAATCGAAATATGGCATATTTTGCAGCATGAATTTGAAAAATAAGTTTATTTTGAATTTTAATAAACTAAACGTTCTCCAAAAAACTTTAGTGAGAAAAATCGAAAAAACGAACTACAAACATAATAACGCCAAACATTCGGTAGAATTTATAGAATATTGTAAAAATATATATATATATATATATATATATATATATATATATATATATATATATATATATATATACATAATCGCATTATTTAAGAACATGGTATATTAAAGGTTAGGCTAGGCATACATGATACATAATAACAACATCACTAATTTTGAGGTGAGCTGGACAATTTTCTTTGTGCTATAACATGGATTATGCATACATTATAAGCTGATCTTTGTGAAAAATAATTTGTGCACGTGCATACATGACACATAATATTTACATCACTAATTGTGAGATGAGCTGGACAATTTTCTTTGTGCTATAACATGGTTTATGCATAAATTAAGCTAATCTTTGTGTACAGAATTTGGCGTATCACACAGCTTATTCATATATTTGAATTAATTAACTATTTGGTTGGTGTTATTTTTTGATGTTCAACATATAGATAACCGTAAATGTGAGTATTTGTTCTAACGTATGTAAAATGGTAACTAAAATCCGGCACCGGCTCCGGCCGGTTTTTGAATTTTAAATCCGGCCAAGTCCGGCCCCGGCCGGATTTGAAAAACCTGAATCCGGTGCATCCCTAATATATATATATATATATATATATATATATATATATATATATACAGTATTGTATATATATATATAGTATTGTATAAATACAACTAAGTAATTCTATAAGTATTTATCAACTTATATTGAAATTTTTCAATTTGGCTTAGTACATTTTTATGAACAAAATTAGGTCTATTGAAAATTGAAACTTCATTTCTATAAATATATTTTAATATAATTAATGCAGACAGATTTTATTCGACGTTATACCGTCATCGTCAGTACTTTATGTGGTTATATAGAATTATTATAATTTTAATATAACTAGAAATATATAAAAATAAATTCTAATATATATATATATATATATATATACATATAAATTTTATATATTATATATTTTGGCGTGGTAAAATAATGAAATCAAAAAAGAATAGAATTTATATATATTGTATGTTGTATATAAAGTATATAACGCATTTAATTCAACGTCTTCGTGACTTTTGTAACTTTTTAAAAAAATCCTTCTGTGTTCTTTTATGTGCAATTTAAATAAATTCCTGAAATATATTTAATTCTGAAAATGTTAAGATTTAAATTCAGATAAATTCCTGAAAAATATTCATTTCTTATTTGATTTGATTTTACCTCGCCAAAAAAATAAAATAAATTTATTATTTATACCAACACGTGTTGTTAAATGTGATCAATTTTAAATAATTTTTTTCTTTACGAACTTTGAATAGTGGTAGTTTTACTTACTGTACATTTGGAAGAATTCCAGTTGTAATTCATAGAACTTTTATAATGACAAGAAAACTCCATAACTCTTAATTTTATATATAAATTACAATCTTTTTGCAAGCTGATGAATGAATGCAATAAATTTATTTTTGCACCCATGGAAAGGAAAAGGTATGGCAAGCTCAAAACGAAACTATCTTCAAAAACTCGGTAAACACTGAAATGTTCATGATTTAATATTTGTTATATTTATTCCATAAGTTAATATGTTAAGCAAAATTTATAATTCACTAAAATTAAGTATAAAACATAAATTTGCCGAATTATATTTAAAAAATTTAAAACCTCGTATTACAAATCATTTATAACACGATCATTATCATACAATAGGAATAAAACATTTTTTGCAAAATTAACTCGTTAAAAGCCAAAACATTTGAAATGATATTATTAGAAGTAAAAAATATCTGTAAAAATATCTGTAAAAGAACAATCCAATCGTGCTTTACACACGATTACTGATGTTCGCTTCATTTAATTAACAAAAGTTACATAGCCCTTATTTGTTACTAAATTTCATAACGCTTTCCAACGTTTGATAAACAGATAAAAAAAACGACATACATCATACATAGATACACGTGCGATAGTCGCGGTTTAATTTGCACTTGAACTCATTCAACGTTCTATAAAAACGTATGCCGTTGCAATTATAAATTTTACCAGAATTTTTTCAAACGTTTATGTAACAAAAATTCATTTTGTGCGCTTGTATCCTTTGGGGCGTCACAATTATGATATATAGTACGTTCTGCAACAATTTGTCGCACGCACTTGTTTATTGGTTAAATAACGATTTACAATTTAGTTAAATTATTTTTATTGTTGTGTTTCAAGTTGTATTTTACCGAGCTTTCATTTTTTGCAGATATAGAAAACAGATAAGTAAAAATAATAAAATTAAAAAAAAATTATAAAGTTGTCGGACCGCAAATTCTTACGATTAAAACTAACGATCCTCAAAACAAATAAAAGCAGGCTCTGGAGCAACGGCCTTCTCGTGGTGGAGTCGATTGGATATTCTGGTACTCTCCAGATGTTCAACAAACCGTTGCAACATACCCTCCCTGCAAGACATCAATATCACGGGTTTTTTCGCCTTTGGAGCAGACTATACCGGCCAGCCTGCTCCGCTGTCTGCTATTAAGAGCCGGCATTGAATCGAATCCTGGGCCACCAAAGATCTGGATCTGCCCAATTTGCAACATGAAGATCAACAAAACACAATACTCTGCCCGTTGCAGATCCTGCTGCAACTGGTGCCATCTTCATGATTGTTCCTCCGACTTTGGCGGTTTCTTCATCTGTAAAAACTGCCCTTCCCCCAACCCCCGTTCGAGCAGCTCGGCGGCCTCTGCTATGAGACACTCTCAAACCAGTTCAACCTCTAAAACTACGAGGATAATATCTCATCCCGCCTATCAAAACACCACTGGGTTCGTGGCTCATTCCCCCGGTCAACTGACATTCCTCCAATGGAAGTGCAATGGTATCAAAAACAAGAAGGACGAACTCCAACAGCACCTTGAAACACACAAAATACACATTGCAGCACTCCAAGAAACAAAACTCACCTCCCGTTCCAAAAAGCCAGAATTCGATGGCTACTCTCTATACCGCAAAGACCGTGGTCTTGGACAGGGCGGTGGTCTGGTCATGTTAATACACAATAACATCCCTTACTCAATCAAACAACTACCTGACTCAAATCCAATAGAATCCCAAGCCATAATCATCAATACCAATAACAAAGATCTCACCATCATTAATACTTACATACCTCCTCAATCGGTCTGTCCGTCACACTTCACAGCCTCTATCTCCGACCTTCTATCCAATCCGAATACTATTTTAATGGGTGACCTGAATGCTCACGACTCGCTGTGGCACTCCAGCATTCAGGACGCGCGAGGTGAAGCACTGGCAGTCGAGATCGATGACTCTGATTGCGGTTCGTTAAATCTTGATTCTCCAACCCGTCTCCCCAACAACAGCCAACCAACTTCTCCTGATGTTTCGATAGCATCAGATTCTATAGATTGGACCGTACTTACCACCTTGTCTTCTGACCATCTCCCTATTCACATTACTCTGCACGCTGATCTGGAACCCACGAAAACTCCAAAAACAACAATCGTGAATTTCAATAAGGCCAACTGGGCCAGATACACTGAAGAAACCGAAACGGCCTTCGCAAAATCTGTTCCTCCCAATGACCCTTCGGCAGCTGAGAAATTGTTTCGTCACATCTTGTCGTCCGCCAGCGCTCGCAACATTCCTTCAGAAAGGAGAATTCTCTCACGACCAGGGCTGTCCAGAGAAATCACGGACCTCATGGATCAGCGAGACAGTCTCAGATCCTTGGACCCTACTCCAGACAACATCAACTCTCTCTCAACTGTCATTCAACAAAATATCTATAATCTAAAGCTCACCCGCTGGAAGGAATACCTGGGCACATTCAATAAATCCACCAACACAAACCGCTTATGGTCCACCATCAAGGCTCTCAACGGTAAGCCTAAACAATACCCAAATAATGCCATCACTTTCAATAACAAACCAATAACGAATAATAAACAGATGGCCAACCTATTCAATAAAACCTTTACCTCATTCAAAACACACATCTCCGACAAATTAAATAGATTCACAACCAGGTCCATCAAGAACCTCCCTCTTGATGACCATCAAATCTTTACCCCAGATCAAGTATCAACGGCTATCAAACAATCCAACCCTTGAAAGCCTCCGGCCCCGACAACCTCACCATCATACATCTTAAACATTTAGGTCCTCTAGGTATCTCCTTCCTCACCAACATCTTCAATAGTTCCCTGATTACATGTAAAATTCCCGACATTTATAAAAAAGCGAAAATCATCCCTCTGTTAAAACCTGGAAAACCAGATAGCGACTCAAAATCATACAGGCCAATATCGTTACTCTGCCCAGCCGTCAAGATCCTTGAAAAATACCTTCTCCTAATCCTATCAAAGCATCTAACTTAGGCGGATCATCAACACGGTTTCCGTCCAAACTACTCAACAACCTCCGCTCTCACCACGATAACAAACGATATGGCAAATGGCCTTAATCACAAAAGAACAGCTCATCGCACCGTTCTTGCCGCCCTAGACCTCTCTAAGGCCTTCGACACGGTCAGCCACCGTATTCTGCTCTCGGATCTTTTAACCACAACACTCCCAAGATCTGTTATACGCTGGATGTCAAATTACCTGCACGGACGTACCACATCAACCACATTTCGACAACAGCACTCCAAACAACGAATCATCCACACAGGAGTGTCTCAAGGCTCTGTGTTGTCCCCCTCACTTTTCAACTTCTATGTCTCAAAAACACCTGCACCACCCCCGGACATCAAAATCATCTCATAAGCGGATGACTTCTCTATCTATACTAAAGGTCCAGATGCAGCTATTTTGACCCGGCGGCTTAACAGTTACCTGACGGAGTTACATGACTTTTTCCACAACCGTAATTTGGAGATCTCAACATCCAAATCCACAATAACACTCTTTACCACTTACACATCGCAATACCATTATCACCCGCAAGTCAAAGTCAATAACCAAACTCTTCCTCTAGAGCATAACCCAAAAATTCTAGGCCTTACCTTTGACACGATGCTCTCCTTCTCGCAGCGTCACAAGATGTCAGCTTCTAAGGCCTCTAAGCGAAATTCAATTTTAAAAGCTCTCAGTGGAACAACCTATGGCCAAGACAAGGAAACACTAATGCAGACATACAAGGCGATTGGCCGATCAGTTGAGTATGCCTGCCCGGCCTGGTCTCCACTGACTTCCGACACAAGCTACCACAGACTACAACGCTCACAAAACGCTGCTTTACGGGTAATCACCGGATGCCACGGAATAGCATCGGAACAACATCTCCACTCTGAATGCCTGATGCTATCAGTAAAGCAGCATACGGACCTACTATCATCTCAATTCCTTTTACAATGCCATAATACCAATCACCCTTGCCACCACATTACAAGAGAACCACGACTCGACAGAAATATAAAACACACATTATTCAGCAAATATGTACAGACAGTGCAAACCGTTCTGCCCACAGATACCGACAGCAGAGCGTTAAAGGCAGCTTCATCGGCCTTGCATTGCAGTGCTGCGAAACTCGCCTCGGAGACCTATCATGCCGCTGTGCTGCTCAACGGATGACCACCTCCAACACCCAAAATAGACAAGGCAGAAGAGAGTTTGCCCAGAGCGTTGAGAAGAAAACTGGCCCAGCTCCGCTCTGGTCACTGCATCTCCCTCAAAAGCTACAGATCGAAAATAGACAGTAGGGCCAGCAACATCTGTCCAATATGCCAATTACTTCCTGATGATGTTCCCCATCTGTTTAGCTGTCCAAAGAACCCAACTCATTTCACGATAATAGATCTTTGGCGTAACCCATTTTTTAGGGTTTTTCATTGTTAACGACTAGAACTTACATTAGCAGCACAATTAAAAGATTATAGTTATCACATAAACGTTGATAGTAAAGCGATGCAGACCAAGGACATGGATTTGGTACAGTGCACAGAAATGCTTAAAAATGTGTTTAGTGTTTAAAAAATTACAGAATGTTTGGCTTTAAAAAAGCAATAGTTGAGGCTGAAGAATTAGCTGAAGACATAAACTTCGAGCCTGTATTTAAACCAATGAAGAAGGTGCGACGAGTAAAACCTCATTTTGATAAAAACGCTGCTGACGAACCAATCCAGAGAAGAAACTTGAAGTGGAATTCTTTTAACCCCTTATTAGACTATCATCAATTAAATGAACGATTTGAACAACTGGATGATTATGTAAATATGTGAAGGCTTTTATTTAATTTGGATAATTAGCCCATCAAGTGTGATTGTTCTGCGCATTTTTCTTAAAATACATGTAACTGTTGTTTTTTAAACTGAAGCTTATCAAAACATACTATTTGCAAGATCGACATAACTCTTTAGCCAAGTTATCTCTCGAGCAAGAAATAACAGAAAATTTAGATTTTTCAAACCTGATAAAACATTTTGTTGACAAAAAAGCTAGAAGAGTTACATTTTAATAATATTTAAAAACACGCGACGGAAAATTATTTTATTGTTGTATTGAATAAAAATAGTCTTGTCACAATCTACACAAAATAAAAAAAACTTTGCTTTCCGTTCAACTATCCACCTACATTTTTCTTTGTCTTTGTTACTATTTATTTATGTTTGATTAAACTTTTTAACTTTTTTTCAATTATCACTGAAAACCTTAATACATTAGAAACATATGTAATACGTACATGCAGTTACCAAACAAATCAATCGTTAATGCGTCAGGAAGTGGATAAAAAAATAAATAATAGTTAAATACGATTGAAAAAATAACTTACTTATACTTTCTTATCAAAATATCATAACAATATTTTGGTAATTTATTAGCCAAATTAATGTGCATTTGCTCCTGTGTACGAGAACATAGAGAAATTGTATAAACACCTCTACAGCGTCTAATGAATGTGGTATTATCCACAATAATAACGGTTAACATTAATTGAAACATATTGCTAGCAGTGATATTTCCAGACAAATCATATGACGTAGAATGGTTTGCTTTAAGTGTTATATTGCTATTTTCAGATTCATTTGTTTTCACGACTGTCGGTACAACTAGCTGCAATTAGAAGAAATAAATTGAAATTAAATTATTAAATTAAAATAAATAACTAATATATCTAACTTCTATTTCTTGGTCTTTACCCAAATCTGTCAATATATCATTATTTTCATACAGTGTAATATCCATTATATCCCCGGAAGAAACATCTGGATTATCTTGTATATTGTAATTTGTAATCTTTAAAACAAAGGATTTAGCTATTTCACAAAACAAGCAAGATGCAATCTTAAGTAATCAATGAAACCACATTAAGATTAATAATTCAACATATTCATTTTTTTAAAATTCAAATTAATACAATTTCACACGACTTATAAATAAACTGAAGTTTATTCAAGTACATATTTCAACTATTAAAAAAAATTGAATGTAATTTTTATAATTTATGAAATCAGCCGATGTTTTTCAGACTTACATCATAACCTAAAATAATTTTTTTATGACGCCCATTTTTATTAAATTTTATAAAAAACATTTATCTTGTTATTTTAATCAGCATAGCAAAAATAATAAGAAGACTTTTTAAATTTATTTATTTAACAGTCCTTTGTAAATTATAACAAAGAAACCAATTATTTTCACTCATTTTTTCATAAAATGTCTTATAACTAATATGTCATGGAAAGAATCTATTCACTTTTTATAACTAAGTTTATCTGATGTTTAAAAGATTCTTAGTTAGCTTTCAGCAAATTTCATTCAAATACATAAAAAATAATATTAATATTTTACTAAACAAACATTTCAGCGATTAGTTTAGAAAAAACTTATCTGAAAATATTTATATGTTTTGTCTACTGTTTGTATTACTTAGGAAATACAGCTGAAGCATTTCAACTTAGCCAAAACAAATTTAAAAACAGTTGTGTTAAACAAATGCTTGATATAGTTTGAAAGAAAAATTTCATAGTAGGTTTTTAAGCAAAAATCACTGTTCCTTGAGTACGTGACAGATATCTATTTTTAATTCAAAAAAGCAAACTCATACTTCAAATTTACAAATCTAAAGTAAAAATAATACATTGTCAATTTTCAAATGTTCAAATTATTTTAAACTTATTTTTTACACACCGTTCGTTTTTATTAGGGATGCACCGAAGTTCGGCCCCGGCCAAAATCCAGCTTTTTTTTCAAATCCGGCCAGATTTGGTGGCCGGATTTAGGGCCGGATTTAAGCGTCTATCAACATTTTGAAATGTTATAAATAGAAAAATTTTTTTTATTGAATTCAATTAATTTTATGTCAATAAGTTAAAGGCACATAATAACAACATCACTAATTGTGAGGTGAGCTGGACAATTTTCTTTATGCTA